GCTGGAGCTCCCACCAAGGGATGCTGGGCAGCTCAGCATCTTCCTGGCCTTTCCAGCATCAGCTGCTGTTTCTGGATGACTTTTTTTAGTGTAGCAGTGAACATATTGCACTGTTCCCCTAGGGATGGGGCCCTGGAACAGCTGATGTCTGCTTTGGAAAGCAGCAGTGACCTGCCGAGGTGTGCAGGTCGCTTTAAGTTTGGATTTCAGCTCAGGACTCGGGGTGAGTGAGGCTGCTCTGCGGGCAGAGCGTGGCTGGGGCTGCTCCGGGGAGACACACGGAGCTCCTCGGGATGCTGCAGGCACTGAGCGCTCCACAGACCTGTTTGAGCATGAAAAATTAAAAAGGAACCCACCCCCGGATGTCAGGAGCTGGAAACCTGAGCAGAAACTACTAGAACGGAACGCCATCGTTTTTAAGCGGCCTGGAAGGCGGCGGGGAGCGGCAGGAGCGGTTTCGCAGCGCTGCCTGCTGGAGCATTTCGTGCCCAGGATCTTCCAGCCCTTGGACACTTCCGCAGTTTAAATCTTCCTTCTCCCTCGTCTGCTCTGTGTGTAAATCTCAGCTACTCGGGCTAGGCTGAGAGGGATGGAGTGTTTTCACCGTTATTTTTTCTCTTGAGCCGTGTTTGGAGCAGTGGGCGCGATGAGAGCTGCTCTGGGCGCTGCCCTGAAACCCCCTCCCAGAACTCCCAGAACTCCCAGAACTCCCGTGCCCGCTGGGATCTCAGGGGAAAGAAAGGAATTCCTGTTTTGCTGGGGAGGCACGATGCTGCTTTTGGGGCATTTTTGGAGCTGGGGAGGTGGGATGTCAGTTCTGAGGGTGATCCATGAGGCAACAGGTTCAGCTTTCTGCTGTTCCCATACCCACTAAACCTGAGCCTTTTGGGACAGACTGAATCCTTGGGACAGGTTTAACCCTTGGGATAGATTTAACTATTGCCAATTGTCCTTGTGGACAGTGCACTGAGGAGAAAACGTGTGGAGCTGCCACAAACACTTAAGATATGAATTTGTTTACTGGACTTAAGGGTCACGATTTTTGTTTGCCAAGTCACCCCAGTCATGTTCTGCCTTCCAAGGACAGCTCAGGTGCCGACCCACAAGCAGGATGGGCAGTGAGCACGGGGGGGTTCCTGTGGGGGTAGAACACAGGGAGCTGGCAGCCTTTGCAAGGTCCCCTGTTCCTGGCTGTGCTGCTCTGGAACAGCAGGAATTCCTGGGATCAGAGGGATTGGGTTGCTCAGCTTCAGGTGAGACCTTACAAGGGCATCAGTGTTCAGGTGGGTGTGCATCAATAAGCAGATCTGGATGTAAAGTTAAGATTTCAGAGCAAATATTTCAGCAGCCCCTCTGTGCTCACAAAGGCCCCCTGTGGCAGAGGCTGCACATCACCCCGTGTCACCCCATGTCACCCTGTGTCACCCCATGTCACTCTGTCACCCCATGTCACCCTGTGTCACCCCATGTCACTCTGTCACCCCGTGTCACCCCGTGTCACCCCGTGTCCCAGGGGCTCCATGTGCACAGCGGGGTCACCTGCCCTCCCACGACAGCAGCATTAGGCTGGTTTTACTCCTGGCAGCAGTTCTAAAGAACATAACATTTACTGGATGAAAAGACTATCAGAAGTCCTCCTCACAATGCTAAAAACCTTTGAAATTCCCTTCCTTTAATCACCTTTTTTGCTATTAATTAACTCTGACCACTGTTACTGTGGTGCCCAGAACCCCTCCTGCCAGCCCCGAGGGCCAAGGTGGCTGTGCCATCTGTTTGTCCTCACTTCATCTGCCTTGTGCCTCCTGTGCCGGGGCCAAGCTGCTTCTCCTTGTGCTGTCGTGCTGGGCGAGAGGAAAGGGAGGCTCAAAGAGCCCAGGCTGGTTTATTTGTTGTTAGGAAGCAGCCATGGTTTAACTGCACAGATAAGCCCCAGCCTTGGCACATGGATTCAAAGTCACCTCCTTCATCCCAAGCTGCCTGCCAGCAGCCTTCCAAAGAAGGGCTCCAAACTGGCTTCTCCTGTTTTGTTTTTTTGAATACACTTAATTAACGAGGCAGAGGCAAAAATACACAACAAACACACCGGAGTAGTTTTTAACCTGGCTTGATTAATGCTGTCAAGTTGCACATCTGAGATCTGAGTGTGAGCTCAGTGGGACTGTTGCTTTTGTTTAATACCACAAGACACCTCAGTCTGGATTGTTGCATTACAGTACAAATAAAAAACGGAAACAAAACCACATCTGCATCATACAAGGTGAGAAGAATATGAGAATTCTAAATATTTACAGAGAGGGGAAGTGGGGAAAACCACAAAAAATATTTACATAAAAATACATGAGCTTGTCAGCATATACATTTTACACCAGTTCACAAAAAAGACACTATATAAATTAAAGTGAAGGGAACTCCAAAGGTAACCCAAGACTTTCTGGGATGTTTCTCTCATGCGGCTCAGGGAAAGAAAAATCAAGTCTTCTACAGCAGGAAAATGAACAGCAAAACAACCCTTTTCTCCCCCCTCCCTCCCCCCAACTGGACGAGGCAGGACTCTGCACACCAGGAACTGGACATTGCTCACACCAGACCATGCCTTTCACACGGGAATCTGGGACAAGCTCTGGGAAGAGGTGCATGCCCAAGCTGCCAAGAGCGAAAGGAAGGGAAACGACTTCTCATCCAGGTTTCCTGACATGTAACATCACTTCAGTCCATGCCCTGGGCAGTGGCAGAGCACACTTGAGGTTCTGTCCCTTTCTGGGGTGAAAGAGGAACAGGATGTTTTCAAGTTGGTTTTGGTTTTGTGTAGCAACTTACTACCACTGTGCAATCCTTACTGACCCCCCTCCCATGACGAGTGGAAAAGGAGGATCACTGCAAAGACATAGGCACGAGGTTGTGGGACTGTTCTCATAGATGCATAAAGGTTTCACCTGATAAGACTTCTTAAAAATCAGAAATTAATGCTTTATTTAAGACTTCACAGGGGCTGGGCCCTCATTACTCACCCACTGTCTGCACTCCCCCTTCCCAAGGAAAGCCTCCTAGGGATTGCACAGCCCACTCCAAAGCAGAGGTTTGAGGAGGAAAATCCAGAGTTGGGGGCTCTGTTGGCCCCAAACTCCTGTGTGCACTGGGGGGGACTTTGGCTGGACACTCGGGAAGGGGCAATTCCAGCTGCAGTCTATGGCAAGTGTCAGGAATCAGAGGGTCAGAGCTGCCATCGCCCTGCCGGAGGTGTGCTCAGGCCATGAACCACTGAGCCTGAGCAGACCTGCTCTTGGATTCCAGGGTTATTTGCATTGCTGTCCCCTTGCTCTCTCCTGTCCTCAGCTGGGACACTGAAATGTCACCTCCCCCCAGCTCAGCCCCTCAGACACCCGGTGTCACCCCCTCCTCGCTCTGATGCACAACAACCCTTTTCAGTCTCCCCTCTGATCTTCGGAAAGATACGGCTGATGTTTTATCATGAACCAATCATGAGGATGTAAAACTCAGATCTCTAAGGACCACCAGGCCAAGCCCAGTGCAGGAGCAGAACTGCAGAGTTCCCTCTATGGCTTTGGGGGCTGCGGGGTCGTGCGGGATGTTGAAGCCATGGGCAGCAGCAACATGAAAAGGAAGGTGCTGGTCGGTGTTACCTGGGAAAAGCTGGTGCCTTCACCTTTTTTAATTCTGTTGAATTAGCTGGATTGGCTCAGCACTGGTGGACACACGGTGGGGTTCTCAGAGAGCTTCCAGCCCTCAGAGCACAGCCCAGAGGGAGGGGAGGACAGCTGGGGGCTCACTTCTCTGCTGGCTTTTTTCCTGGAGACCCTCTCATTCCCAAGAAGGCCGTTTGTAGCAAACATCCACGTCAGGTGTGCACTTCCAGAAGCCCTTTTGGAAAGGTGCTGAAAGCTTTGTTTCCCATGGGACGAGTGGGTGCTTCACCCCTGGCACTTCCCACAACGTGGGAGAGCCCCGGCAGGGCTGGGGGAGAACAGGGCTGGGAGAGCACAGGGGGAGCACAGGGCTGGGGACAGCACAGGGACAGCACAGGGCTGGGACAGCACAGGGGGAGCACAGGGCTGGGACAGCACAGGGCTGGGGACAGCACAGGGTTGGGGACAGCACAGGGCTGGGACAGCACAGGGCTGGGACAGCAGCTGTCTGAGGACAGCACTTGGTCTCTAAGGGAGACAGTGGCTTCAAGCAGGAGAATCCAGAGGCATTTACCAACTTAGTGGGAGCTGGCATCAGGCCCCCAGAGTTACAGGATAGTCCTGGTGAACATAAGGCCAAAATCAGGGCATCAGGAGAGTGCTGAGGGGCAGGATGGGGGAATTAAGGCTTTCATGGAGAGAGAGGTTCAACCTACAGCTCTCATTCCCTGAATCCCAAAGAGCCTGAACCAAACACTTCAGCTGGAGACCTCACAGGTCACTGGCAGCTGAGGAGAGACTGTGCTACCACACAAACCCTCCTGAGAGCACGGACTCATCCGGCTCATCCCAAGGAACTCGGGCAGGGCAGCCTTTCCCAGGGAGTTCCCAGCAATGGAGACAGGCTGGCCCAGGCCATGGCTCACTAATGGCCCCTTCTGTGTACTTCTGTTAGTTTTCCTTGAAAGAAAACATTGCAAAAAGCATTCCCTCACCAAAAACCCCAACCCCTCTACCTGGGAATTCCTCACGAGGAGATTGTGGTACCCTGGATCACAGTGCTGCTTTTTTTCTCCTTTTTTTTTCCCTTTCTTTTTTTCTTTTTTTTTTTCCTCACTGCCAAATTTCATTTCATAACATGTGAGAACTCTTCTAAACAAAATGCTTAAAACATCAGCATTGCACAATAAAACAGAACCTGAAGGTAGTTGCTGAAACAGCCCCAGACAAGGCTCCAAGGTTAAAAGAAGCAAACAGTTACAGACTAGTCAGCTACTAGAAGCAGGTTTTCCTTAGGATTTAAAAGTCCCAAAATAGCCATGAAACTTTTTTGTTCAAAAACACCACCTAAGCTCCCTTTAGCAGCTGTGTGCTAACTGCAGGACCTCCAGGCTTTTAATAAAACATTAGAGATTCAAAACAGGTAGAGAAGTTCTTCAACCACACAGAACAGGAATGGCCTTGGAATTTATCAGTGAACATTTAAAAACTCCTAAATCTCAAGTATTGCTTGTAAGCCCTGCCTAAATGGGATGGATGTGCTTAATTTATGGGGGGGGAAGTCTGGGAAGTCCTGGGAAGCCTGAGAGGAAGCACGAGGTGCTGCCCGGCTGCTTTTACAATGTGAAAGCTTTTAAACAGCTTGGACACTGTTATTAGTGTGTTCTGCAGTGCACTGGCCTTCTGTCCCTACTCACTGAGCACTGGGAGGAGCTGCACTGGGGGATGGGAGGCAACACACAGCACAGACAGCATGTCACTGCTCCGTGTGTGCCACAATTCCGCAGGGATCCCTTTGCCAACACGGAACCGAGAGGTCACAGAGCCCGCAGACCTTCAGGGGAAGGTCAGCAGGAACATTCCCTGCTGGAAGAGCTGCAGGATCTGGCCCAGGGCAGCTGCTCATGCAGATAACTCGTCACTCCCACAGCTGGGAAGGTGGGCTCTGATTTACACGCTGGACACAATGCCATGGAGATTTCTGTATTTATTTTTACTGGGTTTTGGAGTGAGATGACACAGCCTGGCCCAGCCACGAGATGGAATGAGCTCATCTGGACACAGAGAGCCCAGCAGCAAGGAGGAATTGGCATGGGATGGGTGTGCTGTTCCCAGCTGCCTGTGTAGGGTTTGGTGTAGTTTCGTGTTTCCTTTCTTTTGGTGTGAGAAATGCAAACCTGCCCTACTTGGCTCCCATCGCTGGCCTCTGCTTCCAAAAACGGAAATGTAAAGTAATTGGATTTCTTGTAGGCAGAAGCAGCTTCTTAAGCAAACAATGCAACAAGTGTGCTGTGTTCTGAACTTGCTTCAGAGCCTATTCCACAGCCTTGAAGTCAAAACAGGCTCCCACCCACTTCAAAGCAACTGCAGTGGGTCCACTGCACACGAGGGAGAGGCAGGACCTCAGCACCAACCAAGGAGAAAACCCTTGGGCAGTCTTTCCCCCTGCCCAGCTGTTGGCCCACTCTTGCTGTGTAACTCAGAGGGGCAGAACAGTGTCATGGAGCCCCTTTCCTGGGAGCCAGCAGTGGGAAGGGTACTCAGCCTGGAGAAGAGCTGCACGCACAGTCCACTGTGCGGGGAGGGAGCGGCGGCCACTGCCAACGTCACACCTGGGGAAGGACAAACTCCTTCCCTCCCTGCCAACAGCACCTCTCTCAGCTCTGCCCGGCCTCTCTGGCAACACCTGTGTGCCAACAGCCTGCTCTGTCCTTCCAGTTGTCTCAAAACTACATGAAAAAGCTAGAGCTCTACTACATAAAAACAGTGAGTGGGCGGTGGGGGCTGAAGGGGCTTTGCTTTCTCATCGGGGCAGGGTCAGGGTTTGGTTTGTTTTTTCCATCACTGAAAAAATAAAACAGTCCACTGTCCAGCAGAGGCTGCTTAGACTCTATCCCTCCTCCCCCCCACCAGCTCACTCGACGTGGACCTCTGTCTCGGGCCTCTGCAGGCACAGCTCGGAGGGCAGGAAGGCGCCCTGCCCCAGCGCCGTGGCGTAAGTCCTGCTGTGCACGTGGGTGAACCCGGGGGGCACGAACCCCCCTGCTCCAGCATAGCCCCCTCTTTGGTGCTGAGGCATGGTATGGTAATCCTCCAGGTTGTCGTACTGGGACACCACAGTCATAGTGCTTTGGCGCTTGCCCAGGGTCTGGTAGGGGTACAGCAGGGCAGAGTCCCTCTCCATGGGCTCGGGGTGCTGCATCCGCAGGCTGTGGCTCCGCTCGGGTTTGGGCGGCGGGGCCACGGGAGGGGCAGCGTGTTCCTCCTCCTTGTAGCAGTCTCTGGAGTGCTTCTCCAGGGGGGCAGGGGGTCTGGCTCGGGACCTCTCCATGTCTGGCCTGTCCTCTGCCAGCCTCCCCTCCTTGTGGTTCAGCCTCAGGGTGTCCTGGCCGGCCGGGATGTACTTGCTGCCCGAGTGCTGGTAGCCCAAGGGCTCGGAGGGCTCTGGGCCCCCTTTGGGCCTGTAGTCGGGGTAGGGGGGCCCGTTTTTGGGCTCGGCAGGCTGCCTATGGCTCGCTTCCTGCTGCAAGTGCGTCCTGTGCTCGCTGGTACTGCCACCTGGCTCATGCATCTTCCTGTTCCGGACACTGCTCTGCTTCTGGGGCAGGGACGGCTTCTCGGGCTGCCCGTTCCCGTAGCCCCCGTGGTAGTGGGCTCTGTCCAGCTCGGGCTCCGGGTGCTGCAGGTAGTACCGCTCGTCCCCCTCGGGGGTGGCCGCCTTGCCCTGGTACCTCCCCTCCTTGCCCTCCGCCACTGTGAGGAGGCCAGTTTTCCCAGGATCGGATTTGCTGCGCAGGTGGATGGCGTCCAGCCCCCCCAGCTCGTCCTGCAGCAGCGGGGCCACGTTGTCGTACTGGGACATGAGGGGCCCCTTGACCTTCTGGCGCGAGCGGCTCTCCCTGCGGATGGACTGCATGCGGTACTTCTCCATGTCCTCCAGGTCCCACGACATGTACATGTGCTTGATGTCCGGGGCGGGGGGCACGTCCCTGCTGACGAAGCTGTGCTCCTT